TGAAACTTGTTAGCTATAGGGGATTATGAATTCAAATGCACAAGGGCGGGGGAGGAGGAAAGATGGTAGAGAAGTAGGGGACCCTATTTCAACCGGTCCCCAGAATTGAGCTGGATATCTACCAGACCACTCTGAGCACCCATGAAATCAGCCTGAGATGTAAGAAGATCTGGATCTCTACAAACAGAATATCGCAGGTGGTTGGTTTTGAGGTATAAAGCGGGAAGCCGTGATTCCGCGGGCAGATATCGGAGGCTAAACGGCAGCGGGAGGGAGCCTGGCCATGGGGATCCTACACTGCTGGTGAGCCACAGCCTTGCGCACTGGGGATGGGGCACAGACTCGCAGACCAGTAGCAGCAGGGAAAGAACTTTAGGGTAGCCCCCAGGATGGGAAGCCAGAGGGGCGTGGTCATGCATTCGAACTGGGAGCGGCTGGCGCTTTTAGAAGCACAAAGGGCAGAGACATGCCCTGACCTGGAGGCAGGACTGGGAGTGCTGCGGAGGGGCGCACAACCCAAGATGCTACAGTTTATAGCAGCACGGACAGAAACGGAGATGGTGTGGCCTGGAGAACTCACTGAAGAACAGACAGCGATCTCTCTGCTCTGAGGCAGAGGGTTGGAAATTGTCTCTTCTACCCCGACTCACGGAAGAGACGCGGAAAGCCACCAGGGAAAACCGCCAGAGAACAAAAGCCCCCAAAACTGATTCCCGCTGAGCCCATCCCCTGCCACAGGGGGGCAGGGCAACTCCGCCCAAACAGGGTTGCTTGAGTAACAGTGCAGCAGGCCCCTCCCCCAGAAGACAGGCTGAGAAAAAAAGAGACCAGCAACCCTAAGGTCCCTAGAAAACAGGTGCATCTTGCTTGGGTTCTGGTCAATAATTTGGACTCTATACATTCCCTCAAACACCCATCAACAGAATGACTAGGAGCAGGAGCCTCCAAAATAGAAAAGACTCAGAGATTATGACTTATGCTGCAGATTTACAAATGGATGCAGATATAACCAAGATGTCAGAGACAGAATTCAGGCTAGCAATTGTGAAGACAATAGCTAGAATGGAGAAATCAATTAATGGCAACATAGAGTCTCTAAGGGCAGAAATGAAAGCTTAATTGGCAGAACTTAAAAATGCTATCAATGAGATCCAATCCAATCTAGATAATCTAACAGCTAGGGTAAGTGAGGCAGAAGAACAAATAAGCAACCTGGAAGACAATATAATAGATAAAAAGGGAAAAGAGGAGGCCAGGGAAGAACAACTCAGAATCCATGAAAATAGAATCAGAAATACGTGACACCATGAAGCATTACAGTGTCAAAATAATTGGAATCCCGGAGGGAGTGGAGAAAGAGAGGACTAGAAGATGTATTTGAGCAAATCGTAGCCAAGAACTTCCCTTATCGGGGGAATGAAACAAATATTCGCATCCTAGAGGCAGAGAGGACCCCTCCCAAGATCAAGGAAAACAGGCCAACACCCCGGCATATAATAGTAAAACTTGCAAATCTTAGAACCAAGGAAACCATCTTAAGGGCAGTTAGGGGGAAGAGATTCCTTACGTACTGAGGGAGGAACATCAGAATAATGTCAGACCTATCCACAGAGACCTGGCAAGCCAGAAAGGCCTGGCAAGACATATTCAGGGTACTAAATAGGAAGAACATGCAGCCAAGAATACTTTATCCGGCAAGGCTGCCATTTAGAATGGATGGAGATGCAGAGCTTCCAAGACCGGCAGAAACTGAAAGAATATGTGACCACTAAGCCGGCCCTGCAAGAAATATTAAGGGGGGTTCTATAAAAGGAGAAAGACCCCAAGAGTGATATGCAACAGAAATTTACAGGGACAATCTATAAAAACAACATCTTCACAGGCAACATGATGAAAATTAAGTCATATCTTTCAATAACCACTCTCAATGTGAATGGCCTAAATGCTCCCATATAACGGTGCAGGGTTGCAGATAGAATAAAAAGACAGGACCCATCCATATGCTGCCTACAGGAGACTCATTTTGAACCTAAAGATACATCCAGACTGAAAGTGAAGGGATGGAGATCCATCTTCCATGCCAGCGGACCTCAAAAGAAAGCTGGGGTAGCAATTCTTATATCAGACAAATTAGATTTTAAACTAAAGTCTGGAATTAGAGACACAGAAGGACACTATATCATTCTCAAAGGGTCTACCCAACAAGAAGATCTAACAATTGTAAATATCTATGCCCCCAACATCAGAGCAGCCATCTACATAAGCCAACTGTTACCAAAATAAAGAGTCATATTGATAACAATACGTTAACTGTAGGAGACCTCAATACTCCACTCTCAGCAATGGACAGATCATCTAAGCAGAAAATTAACAAGGAAACAAGAGCTTTGAATGATATGTTGGATCAGATGGACCTCATAGATATATACAGAACATTCCACTCTAAAACAACAGAATACTCATTCTTCTCGAGCGCACATGGAACTTTCTCCAGAATAGACCACATACTGGGTCACAAATCAGGTCTCAACTGATACCAAAAGATTGAGATTATTTCCTGCATATTCTCAGACGACAGTGCTTTAAAACTGGAACTCAATCACAAGAAAAAATTTGGCAGAAATTCAAACACTTGGAAGCTAAAGACCACTCTGCTCAAGAATGTTTGGGTCAACCAGGAAGTTAAAGAAGAACTTAAACAATTCATGGAAATCAATGAGAATGAAAACACATGGGTCCAAAACCTATGGGATACTGCAAAGGCAGTCCTAGGGGGAAATACATAGCCATCCAAGCCTCACTCAAAAAAAAAAAAGAAAAATCCCGAATTCACCAACTAACTCTACACCTTAAAGAATTAGAGAAAAAGCAACAAATGATGCCTAAGCCACGCATTAGAAGATAAATAATTAATTAGAGCAGAGATTAATGAATTAGAAACCAGAAACACAGTATATCAGATCAACGAAACTAGAAGTTAGTTCTTTGAAAGAATTAATAAGATCGATAAACTACTGGCCAGACTTATTCAAAAGAAAAGAGAAAGGACCCAAGTTAATAAAATTATGAATGAAAGGGGAGAGATCATGACTAACACCAAGGAAATAGAAACAACCATTAGAAATTATTATCAACAACTATATGCCAATAAACTGAGCAATCTGGATGAAATGGAGGCCTTCCTGGAAACCTATAAGCTGCCAAGACTGAAACAGGAAGAAATTGACAACCTGAATAGGCCAATAACCAGTAAGGAGATTGAAGCAGTGATCCAAAACCTCCCAAAACACAAGAGTCCAGGGCCTGATGGATTCCCTGGGGAATTCTACCAAACATCCAAAGAAGAAATAATACCTATTCTACTGAAGCTGTTTCAAAAAATAGAAACAGAAGGAAAACTTCCAGACTCATTCTATGAGGCCAGCATTACCTTAATCCCCAAACCAGGCAAAGACCCCATCAAAAAGGAGAAGTTCAGACCGATATCCCTGATGAATATGGATTCCAAAATCCTCAACAAAATCCTAGCTAATAGGATCCAACAATACATTGAAAGGATCATCCACCACGACCAAGTGGGATTTATCCCCGGGATGCAAGGGTGGTTCAACATTTGCAAATCAATCAATGTGATAGAACACATTAATAAGAGGAGGGAGAAGAACCATATGGTCCTCTCAATGGATGCAGAAGAAGCATTTGACAAAATACAACATCCTCTCCTGATTAAACCACAGAGACGTTAAAAATACGAATGATCAAAAAAATATATATATATACACATATATATCAATGATCACCAAGAGCTCAGGGCAAAGGGGAAAAATAAATATTTGAAGCACAGGATTTTTAGGGCACGGAACTATTCCGTATGACAGTGTAGTGATGGGCATATGACATGCATTTGTCAAAACCGATTAATCTGTACAACACAGAGAGTGAATCTAATATAAACTGTGGACTTTAGTTAATAATAATATACCAATATTGATTCATAAATGAAATACACCACACTACAGAATGATGCTAATAATGGAGCGAAATCTGAGAGGGGAGATATATGGAACTCTCTGAACTATTTTCTCAATTCTGTAAATCTAAAACTGTGTTAAAAAATAAAGCCAATTGTTTTTCTTTAAAATAAAAAAAAAAAAATGGACAAGGGGTATGAGTTCTTGCCAGCAGTTCTCCCAAATACTCGCTCTTCACACGGTAAAATTTGTTGTTTGTAAAAATTAAGGGTTTTTGATTTCCACAAAGACACCAGAAAGGCCCTGAAGTCATCTTAATTCATTATGTTTCTATCATATCTGATTGTTCAAAAACACTGCTTGCATGCTTTCACTTTACTGGTTTTCTGGTTCTCCTGTTTTTGAGATTTCCTTTAGCTTACTTGGGATGGTCACAGAAGGCCGACTTTAGTCACCTGCTGCAGTCTGAGTGCACAATGCGAGGAGATGGGAACTAGCAGGAGACAACGACGGGGCGGGAGCACCTTCCCGCCACCTTCTCTGTAAAGCCAGGAAGGCTCACGTTCCCGGTCCAGCTCCCTCCAGCTCCAACCATCTGACCTGTTTCTGTGCAGTGTCCCGTGCGCATGCGCCCGGACCGCCGGCTCTCTGGCCATCCGGCTCCAGGTAGGCAGTGACTGCGCTTGCGCTCCTGCTGACCCGCCTCCTGTCGTGTCCCTCACCAGAGGAGCTCACGGACGTGGTGCGGGTGGTGTCCGCGCATGCGCTCTCCGTGTCCGTCCGCGGAGGGCTACCCTTTCCCTGAGGAGGCACCGACTGCGTCTGCGCGTCTTCTGCTGCGGTTGCCGTCGTGGGTGGGCGGTGTTTGTGCAGAGTGCTGTCGCTCTCGCAGGGGTCGCCTGTGGGGATGAGGACACAGTGTTGTGTGACGGCTCCAGGTCACAATGGACAGAGCTGAAAGGCAGCCTGCGCGGCGACGGGGAGACGGGGGTTCCCGGGACACGCGGGTGGGGAGCGTGTTCAGGGGGAGGGTGGGGGCGCCGAGGCAGCGGGGCCGGCCGCTGCACCTCGCGCCCCCGAGGTGGGGTCTGGTGCAGCCTGGCTGTGCCCACCGGAGGCGCAGGGGCCAGCCCTGCGGGGCCCAGGGAGGGGGTGCCCTGCGCGGGGCAGTGACAGCAGGGAGCGGCGCCCAGACCACGACCTAGACCAGGGTTGAGTGCGTCTGACCCTCGCCTCGCGGAGAGCCCGAGGGGAGACCCCGGAGAGGGCGGGGGAGAACCTCATCAGGACCGGGACTCAGGGTGGGAACCCCCAGGGCGAGTGCAGGAAGGCCTGCGAGGGAGCCGTTCAGCACGGACCTGCCTGGGACGTGGGCGCTCTGGACCCGAGCGGGGACCTGACCGGGGTCAGGGAGGGGCTGATCCTGGCCCTGACCAGGGAGCAGGGAGGGGGCAGTGGTGCAGATGGAAAGCAGTCCGGAAGGTAGAACACGTGAAACGCTCAGATCCGGTGGTTTGTCTTCGCTTGGAAGTGGTGGCCACGTTCTCGGGTGCGGTGAATCCGTGGTGAGAGTAGGGAACTGTCGTGGGCCTGGGCGGGGGTGGGGGGTGAACATCTGGAGTCTGAGTCAGGAGTCAGCAGAGCATCTCCACGGTTGTAGAGGTTGTTCCCTGCACAAGCTGGCTGGGGAGCGAGGGTACGGCCCCGCTCGGGCCTGCACCGATCACCGAGCCGTGCGCTTATCCTGGTGCTGGTCTGGCTCAGCCAAGAGGAGGCGCGCCTCCCTCCAGTCCCCCCGCGGGCCCTGCCTGCTAACTGCCAACTAACCCCGGGCGGGCGTGTCCCCGGAGGGCCCGTGTCTAAGTCACACCGTGGCAGGCTGTGTGTGTTGTGTGGCGGTGGTAGGGAGACATTCTAAGTGACAGGGACGAAATAACCTGCCTCCTCTTCTCGGGGACTTAGCGCAAGGGAGCGCGGAGAGCGGCATGGAGTCACCAGACGACAGCACTCAGAGCTGCCGCATTCTTCCCATGTTCGGCAGCTCTGTGGGAAAGCTGCAGCAGCTCCTGGGCAAGGGGGAGTACCTGCTGCTGAAGGACGTGCCTGTGTTTGAGAGCGACTTTATCCAGGTGAATCACCCATCCTCCCCCTTCCCCCGACTCATGCGTCTGGTCCCCCCTTCTCCCCGATTCATGCGTCTGGTCCCCCCTTCTCCCCGACTCATGAGTCTGGTCCCCCTTCTACTCGACTCATGAGACTGGTCCCCCCTTCCCGCGACTCATGCGTCTGGTCCCCCTTCTCCCCGACTCATGCGTCTGGTTCCCCTTCTCCCTGATTCATGCGTCTGGTCCCCCTTCTCCCCGATTCATGCGTCTGGTCCCCCCTTCCCCCCGACTCATGCATCTGGTCCCCCCTTCCCCCCGACTCATGCGTCTGGACCCCCCTTCTCCCCGACTCATGTGTCTGGTCCCCATTTCTCCCCCTTCTCCCCGATTCATGCGTCTGGTCCCCCCTTCTCCCCGACTCATGAGTCTGGTCCCCCCTTCTCCCCGATTCATGCGTCTGGTCCCCCCTTCTCCCCGACTCATGAGTCTGATCCCCCCTTCTCCCTGATTCATGCGTCTGGTCCCCCCTTCTCCCCGACTCATGAGTCTGATCCCCCCTTCTCCCTGATTCATGCGTCTGGTCCCCCTTCTCCCCGATTCATGCGTCTGGTCCCCCCTTCTCCCCGACTCATGCGTCTGGTCCCCCCTTCTCCCTGCTTCTCCCCGATTCATGTGTGTAGTCCCCCCTTCTTTACTCCTGTTCATTCTTTTCTTCCCACAACAACTTATCGAAGACCTATCATGTGCTGAGTGTGCAAGGATGTCTTCGGTGACATTGCAACCGGGTAGAGGAAAGCGACAGTGGTTTTGTTCTGTTTTTATACTTCCTGATTTATCCACCCAGTTTTATCAGGTGGCTGCCCTTTGCCATACTTGCTTCAGATGTAATATTTTTTGGAGGAAAAACATGAATGTGGTTTAATCTTTCTGGACACACTTCCCTTCTTGCATTTCCCTTTCTCCCCAGCTACCACTGCCCCGAGTGTGGTCATTATTCTCATGCAGGTTTTGTCCCTTCGTGTGTACCTGTTAAACGTTTTATGACTCTTGGAGGTGCAGTACGGTCTTGGGTGGGACGTGTGGACTTGCGACATGATGTCCTACTGGTTCGGCCATTTGCAGCTTGCTTTTTCTCCCTCAGTGTGTTTTGTAGAAACTTGAGGCTCCAGATATCCTGAAGCCATATTTATATGGTTCTCTCCAGTATCCAAAGCAATTGGGTGTCCATTTCCTGTCAGCCTCACAACAGCCTGCTTATGTAGGCAGAACAAAGATCCCCATTTTACTCAGGAGCAAACTGAGTTCCAGGGAGTGAGGTGACTTTCCCAGGCCGTCAAGTGGCTGAGGCCCCCGCTTTCGGGACTTCAGCTCAGGGAGTTTCTACTCCACATGGCTTTCAGGATGATGGTGTGGGTTGGGGCATAGCAGTGCAAACCAGACTTTTGGTGTGAGCAACCACACATCTTGTAAGTGTGACAGCAAGAAGAGTAGGTGAGAGTAGACCCCTGCGAATCAACCAGCAGCTCCACAACTATACTTCTGTCACTGATTCTCAACCTTGGCTGTTCCTTGGAATAACCTAGAAAGTGTAGAAAACACTGATGCCCAGGACCCACTCCCAGGATTGTGGTGTAATGACCTGGACACTCTGGGCAGCAGGGCGCTGCAGAGCTCCCAGTTTATTGAAATATGTAGGCGGGATTCAGAGCCAGTAAACTCACACAGACACGAGACATAGATGATTATTCTTGTTCAACTACTGGAGAGTTAGGTGTAAGTGACTAGCATTATGCCCCTTTATCTTTAAATTCTTCATATGTCTTCTAAGAATTTGGACATTTGCCTATGTAACCACGGCACAATTTCATGAAATTTGCTGTTGATAGAATGCTATCATACTAGTGAGCGTTTACATTTTCTCAGTTGTTCCAATAATGTTCTTAATAGCTGTATTTCCCCATCCGGGATCATGTTTTACACTTGATCGTCACACCTTTTTACTCCTTGAGTCCAGAATGATCCCTTTGCATTTCATGGTTTGTTGCATTGGTATTTTTTAGGCAAAAAAGCTGTTTTTAGTTTTAATAAAATGTCCATTTTGCTAAAAAAAACTACATTTGTTTACTCAAACACTTACTGGGAAGTACTTGCATCGTGCATGGTCTCTTGTGACTGAAAATCTGGTGATGAACAACTTTGTCCATCACATCTGGGCATGTGCAAGTCAATGCAGAGCACGTTTTGGGGGCTGAATTGCTGGGTCTTTGGCTGTGCCTGCCCACTTACTATTTTAATGGTGAACACAGGTACTTCTAATACAAAAGCATCTGATCACAGGCACATTGAGGAAAGGGAGTCTGGCTCCTCTGAGAGCTCAGATTGGAGAGGGCGATACGAATCCGTTCTGTTGGTATGGTACGCGGCTTGAACCATAGCCCGCTGAGTTTTTGCCGCACACCAAGAACTGTGGTGGCCACTTTATTTAGGAGCAGAGCAGAGGAGGACCAATAGGACGTAAGACGATGCCGCTTTCCTCTTTCTTCCAACAACAGATCAACAGAAGAGGAGAAGTGATTGATGTGCACAGCGCTGTGCAGATGATGACGGTGGGCATTGCATATACCAGCCGCCACCTCACAATGCCCAATGCCATGCTGCTGGCACAGCCGGCTGTGAGCTGTGCAGCCAGGGCCAGAAATGACCAAGATACCCAGAGAAAGGACCTCAGGTCGACAGAGAGATTGGAGCTGACCAGGCGAGTACGGGAACTTTAGTCCCTCCCTGTAGGACATATGCAGAAGGGGCAAGACCATCAAGCACATGATTCACCATGACACAGAGCCCAGAGTGAGCGCGCCCTCCACCGCATGACCAGCAACTGTGGTGTGGATTCAGAGGAGGAGAAATCAGACACCTTTGTGGGGAAAGTGGCTATCGATTGTAGAAGAAGGGTTGTGGGAATAAGACCAGGAAGAAAGTTGGAGACACATAGTTGCAGGCCGTGCATGGCAGAGTGGGGGGCGGTCTTGTAGGTGGTCAGGAGCCATCGTGGTGTTGCATGAGGTCCAACGAGCTAAGTGCTGTTCTCCAAATTAAGACTGCACTTATCAGCAATGAGGAGGTGGACATGAGAGCTGAGGTCAAGCAGACAGGATTTGGCAAATCCTTTAGCAGAGAAATAGATTCGGACTGGGCCAAAGGACTCCCTCCCTCTTCCTTCCCATTTGTCTCAACCTAATCCCCCACTTCTTTGCTCCCCAACAGGCTGCTTCCTTTGAAGTTTGTCAAGTTATCCATCTATAATCATGAGAAAAAACAGTTCCACTTGAAGCTTGCCACTGGCCGCTCTTTTTACCTACAACTGTGCCTTCCTTCAGATGCGAGACAAGATCTGTTTGCATGCTGGGAAGACTTAGTGTACCTGCTGAGACCGCCAGTGGAGGCTTACAGTGGGACCCAGGCCCAACCTGCTGGTGACATGGTCTCCATACCTGGGTTGGAGGCAGAGCACAGGAAGAGCCCAGCAGTAAGCCTTTGCATAGACTCTTGGAGATGGGGCCAGGGTGATTTGGAAGAGCAGCTGAGGCTTTTCCAGGCTGCTCTCTGAGGCTCACCAGGAGAAGGCATTGCATTTGGAAGAACTTGGGCCAAACAAGGCACCATGCAGAGACCTTGCCACACTGGAAAGGCCCCAAGTGCTTCTGAATATCCGTGGCCCCTTAGATGTCGGCTCCTCTGCTCTCATAGCCAATGTTCTAATGCCCTCAACAGCATCCCCACTGCCCAGGCCACTCTGGGACAATTGCTACTACAACCCAGGTGGTCCGATCTTTTAGGGGACACTTCCAAGTATGAAAAGCCCTTCCTTAACTGGAGCTGCGCACTGATTTTTCTTTGCATCTGTGGCATGCTTTGTGCACATGTGCGCAGTTTGTTTCTGAATAGGAGAATGTAAAAGAGCATAGCTCTTGGCCAGCAGTCTCACTCCTGGGACTCTTTTGCAGAAATGCTAAGACAAGTGTATAAAATAGAAGTGCGAGGATGCTCCCTGAATGGCCACAGTGCTCTTCTGGCACTGGAGCTGTCCACGTAAAACTTGAGTGACCATTGTGGGGGTGCCATAGAGGGGATTCCTACATCCACTGGACTTGATGACCTCAAAGTTCCTCCCAGTTATAAGCTCTGGAGTGGTTCAGCTTCAAGAAGGCAAGTGACAATCCCTTCTAGTCTCACTTACTTTCTTCTCTGCTTCCCTGTTTCTCCCCTCGGCACAGGCCATGGAGCTCCACGGAGAAGGGGATCAAGATCAGGTCAATATCAGGAGCCTTTCCATGGTCACTGATGTGTCTGGGGCCACCTCTCTGTCTTATACTGGTGGGGAAAGAAACCGACAATACGCTTCATACTGTATGCGTAGGAACACACCGTCTGTCCCAATCCAGGCACCTGCAGGGCCTGTCCAAAGGGCAGAACCAGGGGCAACAGTAACTCTCCAGGGCAGCATGAGTGTGGTTGAAGGAGGGGAGGCAATCAGCAGACCTGTTACAGACAGCACGGAAGGTCCGGAAATGGGACCCTCCGTCTCGGCCTTTCAGAGTGAAGGCAACATGAGCAAACAGGATGGAGGCCAGAGAGTCTCCCCAGTCCAGGCTGAAGCCCCAAGGAAGAGTAAGGGAAAGGAGAGAACTCCCACTGAAAGGCTTTACCGTCTTAATAGGATGTGGGAAAACAAATCATTCCTGAAATCACATGGAACCCCTCGGGGAGATAAAAGAGAGAACCAGAGCAACCTAAAGGAGCGAGGATATGGCTCCCTACTCCAGGAATACATAAACCTCAGCCTCACCCAAAAGGGGTCCAGGTGGGTGGCCAGATTTCTCTCCCTCCCTGCTTTCTATTGGCCTTAATTCATTTTTTCCATTTTCAGATGCCCAGTACTCACGTGCATGTGGTGAATCGGGATGAGTGCAACCCTAGCTCTCTCCCCAAGGAGTTTGCAGTCCAGTAGAAAGGGTTGCACACTCCTTTGCTCATCCTTTTCATTTGCTGCAGAGCACCGTACGTGCTAAATCCTGGATGGCACAGGTAAACGAGCAGTACAATCAGAAAGTTGGATGTGTGAGTTGGATTAGGGTCTGGCTGTTTCGCTCTCTGAACTGTGAGCTCTAAGAGGACAGGGACGTTCGTGGCACCTCAGGAAGGAAACTGCAAGTCCTGTTTCTTCCTCTGTGCTGGTCCTGTGTGCACACATCTGGGTCTCACAACCAGAAACAATAAAGTTCTATTGATCTTAGTTTTACAGAGGAAGGAAATGGGGGTTCAGAGGACATGAGTAACTTGGACAAAGACACACACACACACTGATGAGTGTACAGTGAGGATTTCAATCTGTCTTTCTTGCAGCTAACCTGTGTTCTTCCTCAGCATTTGGGAATTATTCTAATCACTAATTCAAAAGACAAGAATGAGTACTCAAAAAAAAATTCAAACTTGTGGAAAAACTGCCAAACAATCATACAGTTTCTGTATATTTCTCCTCCAGCCCGTTCTCATAGTAACACTCTGTCAGAGCCAAGGGATTAACATGCTACGTAATCCTGACTCAGAGAAACATTTGGATTGCATTGGCATTTTGGTTCCAGGATCCCACACTGCATTTACTGGTTATTTCTTTGCAAAAACCAATTGTTTGCCCCCCGATTTCAGCATTCATTGGTGGATTTTGTCTGCACCAGTTATTCTTGTGGTGTTTGCCTAATGATTTTATGTTTCCCTGATTCCCTCTGGCTATATTAATTGGAATCCACTGTTAGGAAGAAGTATCCTTTCTCACTCATTTATGTTTTTATTCAATTATTTATTTGTGACATAGATATTTGTTCTATGGGTTATAATCAACTTTTTTTTTTTTTTTTTTTGCTTTGATTGTTCTAACTAAGGTCAGTACAAACTCCTTTATGTTGTTTCCTGTGTTCCTTCAACAGGTCCCGTCTTTTAGCATTTCTGGCGTTTCCAGATATTCCAAGGTCATATTTTCCCTATCTCAGCTTTGTAATCAACTGCTTTTCCAGGGAGTCCCAGCTCTTTTTATTGGAAACTGGTGTTTATATAACAAAATATTGTCACTACGTGGTACTTGTTTTGACTAGGTTTGTTCTATTTTGTTTTTCAGGTTATCTCAAAAATTGAGGAGGAGCTTGTCTAGAACTAGGTCAGGTAGGGTACCATAATCCAGAGATTGGTTTCCTTGTCCCGACCACTCTTGTGCAGCTTCTCCTAGTCTCCAAGGCCATGCACGTTACCCATTCGTGGAACTCAAGGATATCAACTAGAATGGATCTCAAATGTCAACACAGTTCACCCACCCATTTCAAAGATAGGGAAACATAATTTTCTTAAAGTGGGTCAATTTATTCATTTCTTGAAACAATTAAATGCCTACTACATGCCCTATGATAATAACTGGTATATATAAACAATTAGGCAGAGTGGGGAGTACATGCAGAGACACAGGATATAGAGTCTCACAGCATGGAGACAGCTGGGTGAGTTTAGAGAGCTCACAGCTCAGTGGAATTGGAGCAGGAGATGCAGGGGGCAAGATGTGTTCAGGTGGAGATGGGGAGTGCACAGGAGTGATTTGACCACACCTGTGCTTAGAATGGTCACTGCATAAGTGAGTACAGGAAAACTGGAATCAGAGAAGCCAGTTAGGACTTTGACCATGCAGGGGAGAGATGATAAAAGGCCTGAACAACAGGCATGTAGAGGGGACATGGGCATAGACCCCTTAGAACGTGGTGAACAATTAGACAAGTGAGTGAGGGATGACAGAGAATATGAAATGACACACAGACTTTCTAGACTTGACGGGTAGATAGTAGCGCTGTTTATAGGGGTGGGAAGATACAAAAGGATGAGCAAATACAGAATTAACTGAGTTTGGATGGATCTGACTTGGCCTTTGTATTTCAAGGCATTCCAGTTTGATAGGACAATATCTGATAATTCATTATTTAAAAAAAAATTTATGTATTTATTTTAGAGAGAGCAAGCAGGGGAGGAGCAAAGAGAGGGAGAGAGAATCCTAAGCAGACTCCCCGCTGAGCATGGAGCCTGATAGGTCTGAGCTCCTGACCCTGAGATTAGGACCTGAGCTAAAACCAAGAGTTGGATGCTCAACCAACTGAGCCACCCAGATGCCCCTGATTCATTACTTTTTAAGTAAACATTGACTTCGTGCCTACTGTGTGTCAGATTCTTTGCTCTGGACAGGGCAGGGTGAGGTGTGCAGCCTGGTGAACAAAGTCCATAGGGAGCTCACAGTCTCTGTAGAGAGATGAGCTGTATTAAGGATATAAAAACTACAGCATGGGGCAAAATTTGAGCAGTGCTTTTCCAGTACCACATCTCAGGGGAAAAGAGGAAACATTCAAGAGACAGTCACTAGTCAGTATTTGGCTGAAATACAGTATGCTCATGAAGACGGTAAGATGGTTACAATGGTTGGGTCCATATTGCCACACACTTCAAATACCATGCTTAGAAGTTTGTACTTCGTTGTGGGTGCTTTTTTTTTTTTTTTGGCAAGGAATGATATGATCAGTAGGCTTTTGAATCAGAATCCATGAGTGAATTAAGTGAGGGTCAAAATTAAGAATCTCTTCCTTTCCTCATTGTCTATGGGATACCTTCATTGTGTATCATCCTGACTCATTTCCAGGATCTTAACATTGAGCCCTCCAAATGGTTTTTTGTTCAGACCTTCAAAACTCCCCATAATGCACAGGCGGCATCACAAGTTTCTGAAAGTAAAAGCTTCAGTGAGATAGGGTCTTTACTAAGAAATAATAAAGCCCACTGTAGGTAAGGTAGGAGCCATGTGGAGGAGAGTAGCATGGAGGCCGTCATGCAGTCAGCAGAGTGTGCTGAGGGCATCACTGGTACCAGAACATCTGTGACCAAGGGGTCCATCATAAGAGATACGGGTCATTGAGAGCAAGATATTTCCAGATAGCTTCCTTTTTGCATTGAATAAGTAGGACTTGCCTTTTCACAATAAATACTATTGTCTTTTTTCATTTACATGTTCCATAGTAATGACCCCAAGAGATTCTGTGACATCAACTAAGCTGTAGCCCGAGACTCTAGTTTCCTACACAGCTCTACTCAAAACCTTTGCTCAATGGAGCCAACAGGAGTGCTGCTCCTTGCCTTAAGCACCGTCTGCCTTTGGTTCCTTGGGCTATACTGAAAGTCACATTCTGTTCTCTGGGAAGCACCTCCATTTCTCCTTCCTCATTCTCTTCCCTCTGAAGGTCAACTATCAAAGATGTTACATCTGTTAGACTAAGGAAGAATGGGACTTGTGTCCACTCAGGATACTCATGGGTGGGGGGAGGAAGAGTACAGCCACGTTTTCAGTAATAAGAATAAAAACGATCATCTAGAGTTAGCAGTTTCACATCTAGGTCAATACCCTGAGGAGACTCCTACGTGTATTCCAGAAGAAAACTGAGAGTTCTGGAGCAAAGCACAGAGATATCTCCCATGTTCATCAAATGAAGAATTGATCAATTACGGTGTATATGTACAGTGGGATACTACACCACATTGGCAGATGTGCACGTTGGTAAGGAAGAATGGCTCCGATGATTAAAAGAAGCAAGTCAAAAATTAGAATTTCATTTATAGAATGGTTTTGAAAATGAGACCAAACAAGATATGACTGCATATTTGGTGGTTTCTCTTGAGAAAGTTCTCTCTATGATGGAAAAGAGGTGTCCTCTGGGAGATATACACAAGAGACCCAACAGTGCTGAAAAGTTCATAAATAAGGTTTTGGATATACAAGTAATTTGCATATTTTAACATTTTTTTTTTTTAAGATTTTATTTATTTGCGAGAGAGAGCACAGTGGGAGGGAGGAGCAGGCTCCCTGCTGAGCAGGGAACCCCACATGGGGCTCGATCACAGGATCCTGAGATCATGACCTGAGCCGAAGGCAGACACTTAACCAACTGAGCCACCCAGGCTCCCCAGTATTTTAACATTTCTGAAAGCAGGATGGTTCCTAAGTGATATGGTTATCATTGCCTTAAAAATAAACCAATTTATTTGAGTAGCTTTAGTTTTCATGTAGTTACGGGAGTAATATGTGCCAAAAATTAGTCTGAAGGATAATCCATGAGTGAATTAAGTGAGGGTCAAAATTAAGAATCTCTTCCTTTCCTCATTGTCTATGGGATACCTTCATTGTGTATCATCCTGACTCATTTTCAGGATCTTAACATTGAGCCCTCCAAATGGTTTTTTGTTCAGACCTTCAAAACTCCCCATAATGCACAGGCGGCATCACAAGTTTCTGAAAGTAAAAGCTTCAGTGAGATAGGCTCTATTTGTATGAAATACAAATTTTCAGTAACAAGAAATCATTGTATTAGTTGGCAACATTTTTCTTTGTTATGATGCATAAAGTATTATCTTTTGAACTGATAGCATTATAGTTCAAGTGAAATACTGACTTTTGCTTTAATCCATACATGTATGATACATATAGATACTTTTTTGCATACATGGTATATTTTATGGCAAAAAATACTGTCTTCATACCTTCATCTGTGTACAGATACAAATACATTTAATATAGGACCACTTGACTGGGGAATAGGAGGGATTGTGTCAGAGACTACTAGTTGACTACTCATTGTCCATTCTTGCTTTCCTTATTAACGACCTTAATTTAATTGGGAACAAGGCCCCCCATAGCATTGGCTTCTTACTGCCTGAGGGCACTTAGAGAAGGAAGCATGGTTTATTAATTTTGCTGGTAGGTGTTCCACTTTGTTGAGATAAGCCTCTTCATTTTTCATCATGTTTTGAAAATATATTTTAATGACCTGTGTTAACTGTCTTTTTTTTTTTTTTGAGACATTAAGGTTTTCCATTTTATTTTATTTGTCAGTGTTGTGGCATTATATTCTGGTCAACTGAATAATATGGTTTTTTAATACTATTAATAATAACACTATTATTAATAATAGCTTTTTAATACATCCTATGGATAAAGATGATCTTTGAGTTTGTATCTGACCTGCTTAGGTTCAGCCATAAGTCCTACTTGCCACCTATGGGTTTTGCTTTCTACATCAATTTGATTTAAAATAAAAATGGGTGGATTGCTCCAGGTAGCATTGACATCTTCACAATATTTGTTCTTCCAATCCATGAGCATGGAACGTTTTTCCATTTCTTTGTGTCTTCCTCAATTTCTTTCATGAGTATTTTATACTTTTCTGAGTACAGATACTTTGCCTCTTTGGTTAGATTTATTCCTCGGTATCTTATGGTTTTGGGTGCAATTGTAAATGGGATCGACTCCTTAATTTCCCTTTCTTCTGTCCTGTTGTTGGTGTATAGGAATGCCACTGACTTCTGTGCATTGATTTTATATCCTGCCACTTTACTGAATGCAATTCCTATCAAAATACCATCAACTTTTTTCAAAGAAATGGAACAAATAATCCTAAAATATGTATAGAACCAGAAAAGACCCCAGATAGCCAGAGGAATGTTGAAAAAGAAAAGCAAAGCTGGTGGCATCACAATTCCGTACTTCAAGCTCTACTACAAAGCTGTCATTGGGGTGCCTGGGTGGCTCAGTCGTTAGGCATCTGCCTTCAGCTCAGGTCATGATCTTAGGGTCCTGGGATCGAGCCCCACGTTGGGCTCCCTGCTCGGTGGAGAGCCTGCTTCTCCCTCTCCCACTCCCCTTGCTTGTGTTCCCTCTCTCACTGTGTCTCTCTCTGTCAAATAAATAAATAAAATCTTTAAAAAAAAAAAGCTGTCATCATCAAGACAGTATGGTACTGGCTCAAAAACAGACACATAGATCAATGGAACAGAATAAAGAGCCCAGAAATGGACCCTCAACTCTATGGTCAACTAATCTTTGACAAAGTAGGAAAGAATGTCCAATGGAAGAAAGACAGTCTCTTCAACAATGGTGTTGGGAAAATTGGACAGCCACATGCAGAAGAATGAAACTGGACCATTTCCTTACACCACACAAAAAATAAACTCAAAATGGATGAAAGACCTAAATGTGAGACAGGAGTCCATCAAAATCCCAAAGGAGAACACAGGCAGCAACCTCTTCAACCTCAGCCAAAGCAACTTCTTCCTAGAAACATTGCCAAAGGCAAGGGAAGCAAGGTCAAAAATGAACTTTTGGGACTTTATCAAGATAAAAAGCTTTTGCACAGCAAAAGAAACAGTCAACAAAACCAAAAGACAACCAACAGAATGGGAGTAGATATTTGCAAATGATATATCAGATAAAGGACTTGTATCCAAAATCTATAAAGAACTTATCAAACTCAACACCCAAAGAACAAATGATCCAATCAAGAACTGGGCAGAAGACATGAACAGACATTTTTCCAAAGAAGACATCCAAACGGCCAACAGACACATGAAAAAGTGCTCAACATCGCTCAGCATCAGGGAAATCCAAATCAAAACCTCAGTGAGATACCACCTCACACCAGTCAGAATGGCTAAAATTAAGTCAGGAAACAGCAGATGTTGGCGGGGATGTGGAGAAAGGGGAACCCTCCTACACCATTGGTGGGAATGCAAGCTGGTGCAACCACTCTGGAAAACAGTATGGAGGTTCCTCAAAATGTTGAAAATAGAGCTACCATACAATCCAGCAATTGCACTACTGGGTATTTACCCCAAAGATACAAATCGAGGGATCCGGAGGGGCATGTGCACCCCAATGTTTATAGCAGCAGTGACCACAATAGCCAGACTGTGGAAAGAGCCAAGATGTCCATCGACAGATGAATGGATAAAGAAGAAGTGGTGTATATATACAATGGAATATTATGTAGCCATCAAAAGGAATGAGATCTTGCCATTTGCAACAACGTGGATTGAATTGGCGGGTGCTATGCTTAGCGAAATAAGTCAATCAGAGAAAGATATGTATCATATGACCTCACTGATATGAGGAATTCTTAATCTCAGGAAACAAACTGAGGGTTGCTGGAGTGGGGGGTGGGGTGGGAGGGATGGGGTGCCTGGGTGATAGACATTGGGGAGAGTATATGCTATAGTGAGTGCTGTGAATTGTGTAAGACTGATGAATCACAGACCTGTACCTCTGAAACAAATAATACATTATATGTTAAAAAAAAAAAAAGATAGTAGGAAGGGAAAAATGAAGTGGGGGAGGGGAATCAGAGAGGGAGACAAACCATGAGAGACTATGGACTCTGAGAAACAAACTGAGGTTTCTAGAGGGGAGGGGGTGGGGGGATGAGTTAGCCTGGTGTTGGGTATTAAGGAGAGCACATATTGAATGGAGCACTGGGTGTTATGCACAAACAATGAATCATGGAACACTACATCAAAAACTAATGATGTAATGTATGGTGTTTAACATAACATAATAAAATAAAAAAATAAAAATGGTATCTATCTCATGCGTGCATCAGTGTGAATGGTTGGGACTCTCTGTGGCAGTTTTCTGCATACTCTTGTTCTCAAAGATTTGGATATTCTCTTTACTTTTAGACTCAGGCATCTGCAGCCTGGATATGAACCTAGTTTATACACAAATTCATGGGATTGCTCACTTATCTCAGCTATCTCTGTACCTTTTTTTATGTTCCTAGGGGGTCTTTTCCTGGTTTTCCTACTAGTAATTGGGACTTTAGTTACCTTGCTCTGATGTGCACTTCCCATGACAGTGTCTGTCTCCTTTCCAAGCAATGAGAGAGTGTGAAACAAAAGACCAACAGTAATGCTTGCTTCCCATACTATTGGGATCAGAGATCCTGTATTCAAAGAGAAGTGTTCTGCTTGTATCCCATTGTACATGCATTGTTGGCACTGGTGCTGCAGGATTGCCTAGGTACTGGGACAAAAAAGAAAATTAAAAAAGAAAAAAAAGAATTTCCCCCACTCACCGTGATCTGAACAGTACTGTATTTCACTTCTCAGGACAGAAATGCGTAGCTTCCCTTAGAGCTCTGTCTGTCCACTGTCAATATGGAGTTCTGGGTTTCAGGCTTCTTTTGAGTACAGGCTAAGGGAAACCAGAAGATTAAAATAATAATAATAGTAAACAAATATGCTTGTTAGGTGGTACTTCAATATAAATTCTCCTTAAGTATTTCATTGTGTATCTACAAAATAAAAAATATATATATAAAACCACTGCCACAGTTTTATTGCCAATAAAGTTAACAATCATTCCTTAATATTTCAGTAACTATTTAAATTTCCTTAATCATCTCATGGTATTTTCAGTAGGTTCATCAAAATAAGATCAAAACTAGATCAATGCTTTATATTTGGCTCATATGTCACTTAATTTCATGGCAAAAAAAATGTCTATATCTGTAAACAATCTATGAAAAATTGAGAAAGCTATGTATTCTGCCATTGCTTTGTGGAATGTTTACTAAGTATCAGAATTTTGTGTAAGTCTACAGTATCCTCACTGACTTTCATCTTTGTACTTTTATCAATTACTAGATATTGAAATATTTGTAATCATAGATTGGTCTGTTTTGCCTTCCAGGTCTATCAGTTTTGTTTTGTTTTGTTTTCCCTCCATGTATTTTGAATCTTGTCTATTCAGTACATAAACATTTAGGATTACACTCTCTCTCTCTCTCTCTTTTTTTTTTTTTTTGATACATTGTTTCTTTGATCATCTTGAAATGGCCCTCTTTATTCCTGAGCCACACCAGCTTTTCGGGTATTATTATTAGCATGGTATATTTTTCCATCCTTTTCTTTTTAGTAAGTTTGTTTCTATACAGTGAGTTTCTTATAGACAGAATATAGTTGGGTCGTGTTTATTTGTTGATTTTATTTTTTAAACTTTTTTTTTTTAAGATTTACTTATCTATTTGAGAGAGTGAACAAGCAAGTGGGGGAAGGGGCAGAGGGAGAGAGAGAATCTTAAGCAGACACCCCACTGAGCACAGAGCCCGATGCAGGGCTTGATGCCATGACCCGTGAAATCATGACCTGAGCCAAAACCAAGACTCAGATGATTAAGCAACTGAGCCACCCAGGAACTCCAGGCCATATTTATTTTTATCATGTCTATTTTTATCTAATTTAACAACCTTTTTTTGTTGTTGTTGTTTTTGAGATCATGACCTGAGCTGAAATTAAGAGGTGGACACATAACTGACAGCCACCCAGGTGGCCCAAAACCTTTGTCTTTTAGTTGTGTCACTCGGGCCACTTATATTTAATGTTATTAGTGATATATTTGCACTTAAATATACCACATTTATGTTTATTTTCTATTTGACCTATGTGTTTTGTGTTTCCTTTTTTCCTATTATTATGGCCTCATTTTTGATTAAATGTTTTGTGTGATTACATTTCATTGCCTGATAGATTCTTAAGTAAAATGTTTATAGTACACATATTTCATCCTTCATAGTCTAATTTCAAGTAATATATTACTTCAGGTACAGTTAAAAAGAATGCAAGTAATTTACTTCCATTTCCCCATATTCTGGATTTTGCCCTATACTTGATATACATTTCCCTTTTACTTAAATTAGGAAAGCCACATTACTATGTTACTCATTTTGTGTTAAACATCCCATTGTTTTCTGAAGATATGTAAATATTAAAATATAGTTATTTCTACTTTTCTCATTTTTCATTCTTTCCTTTTATAGATACTGACCTCTAACTGCTATAGTTTCCTCAAAATTAGAGAACATCTTTTATTTTTCTCAAATTGACCTTATTGGCATTTACAGTATTCCATTCAAGGACAACAAAATGTAGAATTCATCTCAAGTGCACACAAAACAATTAACAAAATAGGTCTATTTTTTTTTCTTAAGTTTTTACTTAAATTCTGGTTAGTTAACATATAGTGTAATATTAGTTTCAGGGGTACAATGCAGGGATTCAACACTTCCATACAAAACCCTGTGCTCATCACAACAAGTGCATTCCTTAATCTCCATGACATATATATATATATATATATATATATATATATATATATATATATATATATATATTTTTTTTTTTTTTAGAGAGAGAGTGTGAGTGAGAGAGAGAGCACAAGCAGGGGCAGAGGGAAAGGGAGAAGTAGACTTGCCACTGAGCAGGGAGCCTGATGTGGGGCTTGATCCCAGAACCCTGGGATCATGACCTGGGCCAAGGCAGACAACAGACTGAACCACCCAGGAGCATCCCCCCCATCACCTATTTAACGCATCTCCCCACCCACCAAACCTCCAGTAACTCTCAGTTTGTTCTCTACTGTTTAGAGTCTGTTTCTTGGCTTGCCTGTCTCTCTCTTTTCCCCTTTGCTCATTTGTTTCCTAAATTCCACATGTGAGTGAAATCATGGTATTTGTCTTTCTCTGGCTGACTTACTTTGCTTAGCCTAATACTCTCTAGCTCCATCCATGCCCTTGTAAATGGAAGGATTTCATTATTTTTGATGATTGAGTGATATTCCATTGTATATGCACCACATCATCCATTCATCAGTCAATAGGCTCTATGGCTATTGTAGATAATGCTGTCATAAACATTGCTGTGCATATATCCCTTCAAATCAGTATTTTTCTATTCTTGGGGTAAATACCTAGTAGTGTGATTGCTGTATCATAGGGTAGTTCTATTTTTAACTTTTTGAGGAACCTCCATACTGCTTCCACAGTGGATGAACCAGTTTGCATTCTCACCAACAGTGTAAGAAGGTTCCCCTTTGGAGAACATCTTTTAAAATGTCTTGTACTTCATGTGTGATGAATTATTTTAGCATTTGTATGACTGAATAAGTCTCTGTATTTGCATCTGTTTTTGGAAAACTTTGCTAGATCAATAATTCCATATTTATTATTAAAAATTTAGTACTTTAAAGAAAATACTATTTTTCACTTGCACTGTTTCTATTGAAATTTCACTCATCTGTGGAATTTAAGAAACAAAACAAACAAGCAAAGGGAAAAACAATAGAGACAAATCAGGAACCAGACTCTTAATTGTAGAGAACAAACTGATAGTTACCAGAGGGAAAAGGGTGGTTGATGAGCTAAATAAATGATAGGGATTAAGGAGTGCACTTGTGATGAGCAGCCAGTGATGTACGGAATGGTTGAATCACTGTATTGTACACCTGAAACTAATATAACATTGTATGTTAATTAACTGGATTTAAAATAAGAATTAAAAAAATAATGCTTTTCCTTTAATTTACTTAAGTTGTTAAAACAAAATCTTATTACAGTATTAGTGATTTCTAAATGTAACTGTATACTTATCTTCACCTCCCACCCCCTCCCCTCTATACTTTGATATGTTTTCATGTCACTGATAATTGTCCTTTTATTTCATCCTGAAGAACTCCCTCAGCATTTCTTTTT